GTGCCCCCTGAATCCTCCCAGTCTGATTTTTTAAAACATGCGAAATATCATCAAGCCTTTGAGCCTATTTTAGAATATATCGTATAAAATCATCATATAGCTCATAAACTAATGATTTAAGGTGGATATAAAGTCAAAACCTGTGTAAAGCAGATAAAAATGAACCATCAAACTGCTTAAGAGTATCTGAACACGAGAGGGGTCCATAAATAAGATAATACCATTTCTTTTCCTCCTAAAACAATCATACAGGCTATAGAGTGTTCTGCTTCAAGAGCCAGATCAAAAGCAGACATCAGCGTTTATGCTCCGCCACCCATTTCTAAGTTTAGCTTCTCGAGTAAATTAATATTATTATCACCTTATCTTATCCTTTTACCCTTCTCTTCGGGTTCTTTGAGCAACATTCTACTCTTCCTATAATACCCCTGCCTCTTTTGCCAGCTACTTTTCCAGTAAAAGCAAGAGTGGGATGCATGGACATTTGTGAGGCAGCGTGCTGGAATCAGGCTCTCGTCAACTTTTGGGCATGTAGAGTTATAGATATCATCTTAAAGCTTGTTTATTTGTTTTTCTTTGGAAGAAAATAATATCATTTTATCTAGAATACAAGCCGAGATATTTGCGAAAGAAGGAGGTAGGGGTCACCTGTTTTCAGAGGTAAAATTAGAGAGAAAATGGCAGTCAAAGATTAGCTTAAGAGTCCGGGGTAACTGAAAAATTACATTTTTTTGTGCCTTTAATCAACGTTTTTCAGAAAAAAAAAATTCCCACAGAAATGAGTTTTTTAATGGACATGAAAGGTGTCAAAAAAACAAAAATTCAATAAAAATTCACAAACCTGCGGAAAAATGCAAGTTTCTTCATTTTGATTATTTTGACGAGAGCCTGATTCCACCACGCTGCCTCACATTTAATTAACACATGTAGTTTTGTTGGAGTTTAACTTCATACTTTTATTTTTATATGTTTATTTATTCAATATTTCATTTTATTATTACTTTCATTTTTTAAAAATTTAATTATCAATCAATATTTTTATTTCTTAAGAGGGATGGGGGATTAAATTACAAAGAATCTCAATGCCAAACCCTCTCCACTTCTGTTTAAATTCTCATGTTAGATTTATTTTCAATTTTACAACGTTTAATGTGTTAAGGACAAGTATTTCGTTATAAATGGCACAAAATTTGTCTCTATCATAATTATTACAAACTTAAGAAACAGTAAGACAAAAGCTTCCACGAGAGGGGTGCCTTCATACAAAATGACCGAAAGCGCAAAAAAATAATAACCATCGAAAAGAGCCAAAACTAGTCATGGATTAGGACAATATCGGGTTAGATACCCAGATTATTAGACCGTTAAGTGGGGGAACATGTCAAAGGAAATCAGATTTCAAACAAAGGTGGTGGGCGGTTCGGGGGTCCTCTACTCAGGTGTAGTTTGCTCCTTCTTTGCTACAAATATCTATCGTACTTACCGCTCCTTCTTTCAGTTGTAAAACTGTGTAAGTTACATAATACTATCTAGTAACACCTCAAATCTTCGTCTCGTATAAAATGACCTTTTTGTATTACAAGTGCCGTAAAACTCTTACTAAAACTTTTCTAAATAAAAGGAAGGTGTAGTACCGCTCAATTGTGAAATGATTTGAGAAAGAACATCACTAATGTAGAAAATCTTCATCTGATTAGAAAAAAACTGCTTTTACCATCTTCTTTAAAATGTGCCCTATGTTGTATCAGAGTTTCTGTTCAGAATGTACTTAATATTACATTATTATAGATCTCTCTCATATTTCTTAGTCAAGTAAAAGTCTAAATCATAAACGGTTATTTTGAAGATTATTTTCGTAGTGAGAAGACACATCGAATTCGTCCCCGTAGTTCTAACATTTTCTAGAATGAATACTCACAAAACTGAAAAAACTACCCAAGGATAAATCAGCGTATATCACTTTTATTCTCACGTGTACCATGAATCAGATTAGGAACTCATTCTTTGTACACCCAAATAAGTGATAGGGAATTTCTAGTATACTCTCTGATCTCTCTCTCTCTCTCTCTCTCTCTCTCTCTCTCTCTCTCTTCCCCAGTCTCTCTATCTTTGTTTCTCTGTCTCTGTCTTTTTTAGTCTCTCTCCCTACACCCATGGAGCTCTCGTGGTCGAAAGGTTAAGGTGTTCACCTCTCATTCAAAGGTCCGGGTAACAACGGAAAATTTTGCTTCTCTAAAATTGTCTCCTTTCACCTCCTTTCTTGCTCACTAGCAGTGTTCTGTCGTCTTCATTCGTCTCCACTTTCTGCACCCACCCCCTCACGTTCTTTTGCCCCCTGCTGTCTTTCAGCCACACCCCTAATCTCCCGGTATGAAAGATCTACACTTGGCCTTCTCGGACAAGGGCTAAAACGTTAAAGTTAAATATCCGTTGGTGGTCTAGAATCGATAAGACTAGGCTTCGGCCGCCACCCTGGCAGAATTCAAAATTTCCTACCAACTGACAACGTTTGGTGTGTCCAGCGAGACCGTATGCACTTGCGAGCGCCGTAAAACACTTACCG